GAGAAGGTAGGAGGGTGGCCGAAGGGATAGTCAAAGAGGAGGATGGAGTTCCAGAGGGTAGGGGCAGAGAGGCCCCGCCGATGGTGGGGCAGGCTTGGCGGGGACATGGAGCATGCCGGAGCCTGCTGAGTGGAGGGAGCGGACAGGTTGATAATGAGTTAGCAGGTCAGAGAGGTAGGAGGGGGCAAGGCCATGGAGGGCCTTGAAGGTGAGGACGAGGATTTTGAACTTGATCTTCTGAGGGATGGGGAGCCATGTGGGGCCAGGGTGGGGATGATGATTCACGAGCCTGGTACGGGAGAGGACACAAGATGCAGAGTTCTGGATCATCTGCATCTTGCAGAGGGAAGAGTTGGGAAAGCCGACAAGCAGGGCGTTAGCATAGTCGAACCTGGCTGCAATAAAGGCATGTATAATAATAATAATCCTTGCATTTGATATAGCGCTTTTCACGTCAGGAGGACGTCCCAAAGCGCTTCACAGAACACACTGTAAAGTGAATTGACTGTATATTTGTGGGCAAACGCGACAGCCAATTGCACACAGCAATGTCCCACAAACAGTCGTAGATTGAAAATGACCAATTTATTATTGGTTTTGTTTTTGGAGGGATTATTATTAGGCATGTGGAGTAAGGAAACTTGCCCAAGGTTTCGCCCTGCCTGGAATTATACCCATGTATAAGGGTTTTGGTGGCCTGAGGGGGAGGCAGTGGCGGAGTCGATCAATGTTGCGGAGGTGGGGGAAGGCAGAGCGGGTCATGGCACGGATTTGGGGGAGAAAGGACAGTTGAGGGTCAAACAAGATGCCTTGGTTCCTGACTGGTTTGGTGAGGCATCCCTGGATGCTAATGCTGCCATTGCCTGAGGTGTGGAAGCACTGGCACGAGCCAATCATGAGAGGCTCAGTTTGCTGACGTTCAACTGTAGAAAGTTGGTTCTCATCCAGGACTTGAAACATATAGTTCAGATGAACATTAAAGATCTCACAGCACTATTCAAAAAAAGTAGAGTTTTTCACGGTTTCCTGTCCAACTGATGCGTTAATGCTTTGATGCTTTAATTAACAACAACTTGCATTTATAAAGTGCCCCTCACAAGGGAAGCGTCCCATGGTGCTTGACAGTGGCAGAGCATGCCCCCGAGCTGGGGGGAGCGGGAGGTGACCGAAGATATGTTCGAAGAGGAAGGTCTTCAGGCGCAACCTGAAGATGGGGAGGAAGAGGCAAGATGGAGGGATAGATGAAGAGTGTTCCAGAGTTTTGGGGCATAGTGCCAGTCGAGTGAAGGCAGCGGGTAGTGGGTTGGGGGTTGAGCAGGTCGGAGAGGTAGGCACGTACCAGGGTATGATGGGATTTGAAAATGAGTGTGAGGATCTTGAAATCGATCTGTTCGGCGATTGTCTGTCTTGTTGGAGAAACATTATGTCTTCACAGTGGCTGTCTCTTCTGAGTCATAAAATTCCAATATGGGGTGGATTAAATAACCCATTTGGGTATTTTATGCTTACAGTATACATTACTTCACAGTGCATGTTCTGTGGCTGTCCAATGCCATCAATGTCTTTTAAATGTCTAGTGGCAAACTGACAATGAACATTTGATGTATTTTCTTGATGATGACACATCACAGAGAACCACTGAAATGTCAAAGACATTTCTGAACTTTCAGAACAAAAACAATATCATCCATCAAACCAGTTAAGCTGGGAGGCTGTGCCTGTGACATGTTGCCCTCTCTTCACCTTACAACACATGATTCTGCCCAGTGTAGTGCGGGGAAGAGTCCAGTACATCTTGTAGAAAAGTCACTGCTCTTCTCCAGAACTCTGTGGAACTTCTCCCGAACTCCGTTGGAAAAAAAAGCAGCTTGATGCTGTGATAGGAGTAGAGTAGGGTAGGTGGTCTGGAAGGTTGAGATCAGATGGGCCAAAGGGCTTTCTTCATCCAAACCAATCTTGTGACCTCATGCAATCTTGTGAATGTATGTTGCAGACAGCAAAGGTAATATTGGGGTACCATCAAATGAGCTGGTCACTTTAAATTTCACTCTCTTTAGTGCAGTTTTAAAAATATTCCTGCTCATGGTTGGTAATTTTACCTGTTCTTCCAGATTTATGTAAGCCAATGGTATTCTCCTCTCGTGATTTTGAATCGCTTCCACTAAAATGGAATTTTTCATCCTCTCTCTACTGTACATGTTTTTAATGAATGTTTGTTCTCATCAAGATATTCCCAGCCATCGCGTGGGATCTCGGAGTGAGATTGTCAATTTAATTTGTCAGAAATGTGGGCAACCTTGTCCTCCAGAGTGAAACCTATGAGGAACAAGACTGAGATTGCCTAAATGTATTTCACATTGGTCCCTTACATGTGGCAGAACAAGAAGTCTTTCATCTCATCAATCGAGACTCAATTTAAGATCAGAGTTGAAAAGATAGTTTTTTAACCCTGAATGCTAGGGGTAGTAATTTGGTGATCAGCAGCAAGATTCCCGTTCTCTCAGCTGTTGGAACCCCAATGGCTGCACCTGCTGAGATCAGGTAATTTAGTACAGACCAGGACTGTATAGTTTAGTGACACACCAGGCAGTGTGACACGGGGTGGGCATGTTAGCACAAATTATTTATTTATTTCCTTGAAGAATTACAGTACATGTGTGAAGTATGGCCTGCTGTTTCTAAATTCATTTTGATTATTTCTTATAGTGTCGATGCTCTTTAGATTAGATATCACCTGTAACGCTCACAAGTCTTGTCTCCACCGCAGAAGTTAAACTAACTCATGAATAAAGAGGTTCATATTTGTTATGCTCTAGACCTGAAGTGTGGCGCCAATATTTATGGAACTTCTAAATACAACATTGTTGTACGACCTTTCTGTTTTTTCATCCTACACCACCTTCCTCTCTCGCACTCTCTTACTGCCGCTCTTCAAACCCTAAATCGTTGGTGAGATCATAAAGCAAATGATCCTTGTCAAACTTCAGATATGCAAACCTTTTTGTCTGTACCTGTTCCTCTCTCATTCCTTTTGCAATTAACAAGAATCTTCCTCCCTTCACGGCTGTAAGAGCAAATGCGTTGGTGGGATTTGACCTCTGTGTGTCAATTGCCTTCAGCTAAAACATGAAGTTCTTTTTATTTTTTGAAATCTACTCTAGTCTCACCCCCATTTTGAACTAAATTGCCCCCCTTTTTGTAGGCTGTCATACCCCAAAACAGCACAACACAATACCACTGCCTGACAGGGCATGCTGGACCCATGTTGTTCTCAGGAGAGCAACTTGGAGACACTAATATGCTGCCTTTCCCTCTTTCCACACACAGAAGCCTACAAAATCCACATGTTCTGGATGCCTCTTCCCCTGACAAGATGTCGAATAAGGTGAAACTCACTTTGTGCAGACTTTTCTACTCCCGCTTCCCATGGTATTGCTGAGGCTCAACATGCCTTGTCCCTGTGCCGAATCAAGTCCTGTATGTCTGTATGTATCGCCATGCCTACCCTGTTTTTCCTTAAATGTTTTTAAGGTTAGGGTGACAACTTTGGAGAGGATCTGCCTGACTCACACAAATGTTTGATCTGTCTGCCTTTTTCTGAATCACCCATTAGAATTTATCAAACTGACTTCTCTTGTCAGTCTCTGTACCAATCTCATTGACAATTTTTACAAACATATTGGTTGGTTGGGATAGTCAGTGCATTTTTAAGGTTCTCAGGGCTGGTGCTGGAATTCATGATAAGGTTTGTAGCTTTTGATACCGATACAGATCATATGTGGCACCACATATGACCACAAGGCTTTCAGGCTGGGTGGCTCAGCTGGTACACCAATCTCATTCACTGGCTTCAGGGACACTCAAAGGGTTCTTTGTCCATGGATGCAAGTGGCATTCCCATTCTCCCATCTGTGGCAAACTGGTTTGATGACTCATATAAATTTGTTGCCTGGTCTAGATTCCTTGGTCACCAGGAGGCAATCAGTCTCTTTCCCTCTTCTATGAATTTTGTGCCGATCAAGGTGTGAGACATTAGTGCTAAGAAATGAGACACTTCCATTATGGGTACCCTGCTGAACCTCAGGAAAGAGTAAAGCCATTAACCATTAGATCATTGAAGGAATCCCATTTATCCTATTTAAAGAGATTCTCTTTCTCATCTGTGTAGCTGCCTGTTTGGAAATGTGTTGGGGTGGCCCAGGGAGACATTGCCCACAAATGTTCGCCCACAAATATACAGTCAATTCACTTTACAGTGTGTTCTGTGAAGCGCTTTGGGACGTCCTCCCGACGTGAAAAGCGCTATATCAAATGCAAGGATTATTATTATTATTATTGCTACTTTTTTCCCATCTTCTGGACTTGTGTGAGAACACGAGAAACCTGTGTGGGCAGGAGCTGGGTGTTAGGTCCCGATATTCAATGTGTATAAATAATTTGCTCAGTAACTGCAAGCTATTAATTGTGGTTTGTGCTGTGAGTGGCTTCAAGGTTTTGCTTTCACAAGGAAACTGGGCCCTGAGATTTTCTTCCATGAATGGGAGTAGTTCTGATCGTAAAATGTCTACAATCTCACAAAGATGAGTGTTCAGTTCTGCAGAGTGCTCCAAGACACAACCCCGTGTGAAGGACACAATATAAATGCGTGTTGTTGTCAAGCATTTCTTGTGTCATAGCGCTGGACAGTTCACGAGCTAACATGAATGCATTGTAGCTCATGAACTGTACAAGTGGGGGGGTTAGAGAATGCAAATCAGCTTTACCTAAAATCTTACCTCCATTCACTGGACGTATTTTCACTTCTATTATGTGACCAGATCAGAGAAAAGAACATGCCTTGTGCCATCCCACAAGCAGGGTATTAGGGCATGGACTCATTACCATTGCCTCCCATTCTTTCCCACTGGTTTATGTTGTTGGATTTTACTTTGTGACTTATTAAATACAATAAGTGAGTTTCCGAGTGAGTTTACCCGAACTCCGATTCTTTTGTTTTCCAGCTGTGGGAGTGCAGATTAATTTTGCAGTACTGCGTCGGAAGTTTTGGACAGCAACTCAACAGGTAAGAAATGAGGTTTACCAGGTGAGCACCTTCTCGCTTTACTTGATAAGAATTGCACTATTTGTTTCATTGTTTCTTTGTCTCTCCTGCACATGTTCATAAAGCACTCATTAAAGTCCGAAGCACATTTCCCAAATACACAGTTCGCAGACCATAACAGCAATATTGTTACAGATTAGATGGGGCTTTAAGTTGCAAAGAACAGCTGGACTGTAGTCTTATGGTTAAATACAATAACAACCGAAGGTTTAAGCCTCTGTCATTGTGTCAGTAGCACACGGTATGTCCCTCAATAGCAGGGACCATTTCACAAGCAAAGGTTAGAATAACATGACACTGCTCCTCCAATACTGAAGTTGTGCTGCATTTTGGATGAAATGCTAAACCAGGCTCCTGCACCGGAAAACATTAAAGATTCCATGGAGTTATTTTGATGACGAGCAGGCATTTCTCCCTGCATTCAAATATTCCTCGTCCTCTCTCAACAAAATAAACATGTTAATTGGCCATTCATCTCATTGATGTTGCTGTCATAGTTTAGCTGCTATGTTTGACTGCATTATAATTAGAAGTTCACGTCAAAGAAACTCATTGTACAAAGTATTTTGAAGTATTTTTAAGTCACCACTTCAAATACAATTGCAGTCGGACCCCATTGTAACGCGATGGTTTGAGTCTATGAACTCAGACCTCCTTGTTATAATGGGTCGTGGTTTTACAAATGGCCACTGGGCAGGATTCCAGGTCATCAAGTCTCCGCTGGCTTCATTAAATCATGTACTGCGCACAGGAAGTCAGACAGTCAGTGGCAACCACTTTCCAATGGTTCCTAGGGTACTGCTAACACTGGAGGCTTCCTGTACCTACAAGTCATACCTACCCACAAGAAGCTGGCCTGTGTTGTACCTCTGATACACTGCAAACTATGGGTGCAGTGGACTTACGTCCAGACTTTTGGTTTACAAAGAGCATTATAACAGAGTCCAACTGCATTACTTCCTACTTATTTAGCTCTTGATATCTCTATTTGGCTCATTATTTCCAGTTTTCACAAGCAAAGGTTAGAATAACATGACACTGCTCCTCCAATACTGAAGTTGTGCTGCATTTTGGATGAAATGCTAAACCAGGCATTGATTGATTGATTGATCCAGTTTTGATTGATGCCAGCAATCAATCCTATTGTAAAACCTTCCCACTATCTGAAATCCACACAGAACATTTGCGCTGTCCACCAATGTGGTATGATTTTCAGTTGTTCTGAGTTATATCAGCAGGACTTTTGTGAACATAATTTGCTAGAATGCGATGCAGCAAAACAGGATGTCTTTGTTGAGGATCTAAATGGAGAATCAAGCACTAGTTGTGTCATTCCCAACAGTAGAGCCATCGCATTCTGCAAACACCCAGAAAAACGCAAAACAGGGGTTAGCCCCACAGAGACTCCTGCAATCTTTTGCAACTCTAGCAGTGAAAGATCACAAGATCACAAGATTGGTTGACATGAAGAAGGCCCTACAACCCACCTGATCTCATCCTTCCAGAATACCCTCCTTACCATCTTCCCATCACCTCATCAAGCTGTTTTTCAAATGAGTCCAGCATCCTGGCCTCAACCATCCTTCCTGGCAACCTGTTCCAGTCATTAATTGCCCTCTGCGTAAAGAAATACTTCTGGTGTCTACCCTGAAATTCCCCATTACAATTCTAAACAGCAACAGATGGCATTTATATAGTGCCTTTCACGTCGTGTCCTCGATAGCTCATAGTCTGGAACTGACCGACACTGGACCTAAAGCCACTCAGAGGCTAATGGTTTGAATCAGAATCAAACTATAATGTTATGATCATTAACCAATACTCATGTTCAACTTCAAATACCAATGCAGTTTAATATGTTCTCTGTGCTTTGGAGCGACATTAGTATAGATTAGTTATTAACGTAATGGCAGCTGCCATTAAGATTCTCTGTTCGCTCGTGACTCTGAATTGCTATTCGTGAATGCCATTGTGAACCACTGTGCTTTCAACCACATTCCATCCAGCCAGAGCTTTAACAAGCATCTACAATGCAGGCAATTGTGGAGCTTGTTTTGCTTTAAACATTAAAATATTCTTGCTCTCATGCTTCGACATATTTCATACTAAAACTTATTTTCAATCTTTTTAATTAAAGAAAACAAGGTTCTATGCCAGCCTGCAAGACAAAACAACCTGAATGGGGCGAGGTGGTGCCTCTAGCATAACAAATACTGGTCACGTCCCTCTCAGAATGTTTAAAACAGTATTTCTTGGTAATTTGTCAAAGAATAATTCTAATATTGGGTTTTGGAAACCACCAACCGTCTCCCGAAATTTGCCTCATGGAATTTCTGTACAGTAAGGTTTCATTTTACAAGACCACCTTTAAAACAAGTCTGTCCTCATTGAGACATATCTTGCGCTAGCTTCTGAATGCATTGTTTCCCTGGCAACATGTGCTGGTAATTGGATATTGCTTTGTATATGAGTTAATAGGCCTGATGCTGTGAGCTACGTACATGACTTCAATGGTGCAGAGCAGACGTTCTTTCCTTAGGCAACAAATCAAAGATACAAGTGTAATCTGCACGAGGTAAAGAGCCAGCATTTTCTGAGCTGATTTCTCCAGGTTCCACAGCTGTCTGATATTAGAACCTTACTGCGTGCCTCATGAGCTGTTTTGCAAGACTGGCTCATAACTTTAAAAATAGTTGAAAATATTGCATAAATCAAATGAGTGATAGAACAAAAACACAAAGAATTCAATTGGAAATCATACCTTTTTTGATGTCTGTAAAGTGCCGGCTGGCAACGTGTGACAATCAATTATTTCTCTGCAAAGATCACAACTAGAGTACGAAAACAGCAATTCTCACATCTAATGACAGTTACGTATTGTGATTGAGAATTAAGTCTGAGTTTCCAATTGTGTTTCCAATTGTGGTGAAAGGCTTCGACACTACTTTTCTCCAGAGTATATTGTACTTTTCTGATTATGTTGGGAATGCTGTTTTTAGTAAATCATTCACATAAGTGTGTATAACTATGGTGCATGAGAGGGCATGTTGTTGTGAGTCCAAGTATTTGTCTGTATATTGTTGTGTAATATGGTTTGTGGGGACATGTGTTTTTTCTGTATTTAATGTTAATGTGTATTAGGTGCCAAGGCATATCATAAGGCATCGTCATGTACATTAGTATGCAATAGTATATGTTGTATATTTGTACAATATGACTGGTCTATTATGTGCACTGGAGCATGTATAGTGAGATAAATACAGTATGCTGTATGTTGATGTGTAGATTGATTTTATAATTTTACTTATGTCAGGGTCTATTAGTGTATATTACCACATACTGTCTTTTGTTGTAGAATGATGACTGTTGTTGAGGTGTATTGATGTCTAATCAGGCATTTTTTATATCAATGCAATTTGAGATATGCTGGTGCGTATTGACCTGTAATATGTTGGGTGTTTACTGTATCAATGCATGTTGGACGTGGTGTGAACCACTGTGTGTTGGGTTATGGTATCTACTGCTATATTTTATGGTTGGCTGGGGTATATTGGTACTTATCAGTGTATATATTTGTTAGGCTATGTTGATATGTACTGGCGCATGTTGATGTGCAAGGAAGTATTTTGGAGTCTATCATTCTCTATGAAGGAACATTGTTGTTTGTTAACCTGATATTTCCACACAGTAACTCCAACTTGTTTCTTCTTCTTGCATGCTGCTGATCACTTTGTACATCTCCTTTATTCCAGCCCAACAATACTGATGTAAGTTGATAGTTCCAACAGAACAAATGTACACAGACACACCCAGAGAGTCAGGTGTTGTTGCACATCTGTCCTATGGTCCATCTACTGATTAATATGTATAATGATTAATATTAAAAATCACAAAGTGAGAGAAAAAGAAGTGTATTTGAGGGCAAATTATAAGAAGAGAAGAAACTGATCACTTGTGGACTTTGTTGGACCAAGGAGAATGTCGTGGTCTAGAGATACATTAATAAGGTTATTTCTTAAAATAGTCTTGGTTTGCTAGAATTGTATCTCCCATTGTTGAAAAGTGAGCAACATTGCTTCTCTTGAATAGTTGCAGACAATCGCACTATTCTGCCTAGCACAGGAATTGAGGTCATCGACATTTGTAGGGGAAACATTGAGAATGAAAACTAAACTCACAGTTAAAAAAGGCTTCGTTTAAGGATATTTTTCGGTTTCATTTTCTTACATTTTTTTTAAATAACCCCAATTTGATTTTTTTTAAATCAAAGGATTTAATTTAATTTCCATTTTCAAATGGTATGATCCAGTTTTTGAAAAATGTCATTAGAAATTTAAATTCAATTAAATATATAGGTGACTGCAGTATGAAACATCAAAAGTTTCATATAATATTCTGTTAGAGGCCTGAAACTAAAATAGCAGTATCAGAAACAATGGGAAGAGATCTAATCCAAACTATGGATCTAGTTAATAAAATAATTACCGTTTTTATAAACCAATGTTCAGACAGAATTCAGACATTTCAATGAAATGTTAAATTGAGGTCCTGAGTGCCTATCCAAGTGGTTAAATATCCCACGGCATTGTTTGAAAAGAAAAGGGAGATTATATACTGGTCTTCTGGCCAACAATTTCCCAGATAAAATTGTTCACTGACTCCACAATTGTTTGTATACACTCCTGCGTGCAAATTGACTGCTGCAATCTCCCACAAATACACAGTCACACCACACAGCACTTTATCTTCCTGTATTTCACATTTATCATGCCTCAATGACATGATAAAGTGCGATATCAAATGCAAGGATTATTATTATAATTTCAAATTTAGTACATATTGCTCCTCTACGGTAGTGACCTGCTGAAAGTGATAAAGAAGCTCTGATGAGGTGCCTTCATTCCCAATAACCCAGTGTTGAGAGTTAAATGTTCATGGGTGGAAACCCGACCTGCTTACTGACATCTAATGAAGGTTAGAAATAAACTACAGAACTATGAGAGGCAGAATCAAAATATGATACATCGATACAGTATGGGTTGAATGGCTTATTCTCAAAGTATAGTACACCAATGCGGAAATTGTGGCATACTGGATGTTTCTTCGAGAAATTAGGCTGTATGTTTACTCAGGGAGAACCTGTCTCTGATTAGACTGCCTATTAATGTTGAAACTGGTTTACTTTTTTGTCATGCTCACTTATAACTGAGTTTAGTTTCCCAAAAGGAGACAAAGGAGATTTTCATCTATCAGTCTCGGCTGGATTATAACCTGGGTGAAGAGTTGAAAGAAGAGTTTGCAAACCCTCTGCAATATCAAGTCATTTCCAAAACAATCTTTGCAAAATTACTCCCTCAATTTTTTTTAAGATTTGAAAGGAATCCTGTCAAAAAGGAGCCTGAGAGCCTGAGACAACAACACCAACTTGCATTTATAGAGTGTCCCTCATACAGGGTAGGGTCCCGTAACATTTGACAGTGACGGGGGAAGGGGGAGAGGGGGTGACCATAGGTATGGTCGAAGAGGAAGGTCTTCAGGTGTGACCTGAAGATGGGGAAGGATGGGGCAAGGTGGAGGAATAGAGGAAAAGTGTCCCAGAAATTCAGGGCATAGTGACTGAAAGCGGGGCCACCAGAGGGCACGAGGGTCAGGCACAAGGCCTGAGCCAGTCGAGCAGAGGCAGAGGTAGTAGGTTGGGGAGTAAGCAGGTCGGAGAGGTAATGAGGTGATAGGGCATGAAGGGATTTGAGACGAGTGTGAGGATCTTAAAATCGATCCATTCGGTGATAGGTTCCAGTGGAACCTGGCTAGAACCGGTGTGATGTGATTCACAGATGGAGAGATCAAGGCACCATTTGACCCATGTTATTTTTTCAGCTTGCCCCGGCTGTGAAGTCATGATCACCTGCTCAGTTAGTCTCTGAGTGGAAATTTCCACCACTGGCCTCATTTTAAAAAAAATGCGTCCCTCTATTTTGCTTGTCATTCACTGCTCCAGATTCTGAAAATAATGGCCAAATGTAAATCTCATTCAAAATGCACATTGTAAAATGATGATCATGAAAGATTTGCAAGTTTTGGGCATGAGGTGCTGTGCTCCATCATTAGTTACTCCATTTTCCAAACTTCCCTTCACTTTGAACATTTCCTCAAGCAATAGAAAGAAGATGGAATGTGAAGGAGAAATTATCCGGAGGATTTAAAAGCATCATTTGTAGTTTGTAAGTAGGGCTAGGAAGACATATACATTGGCGATGGCTACCAGGCAGATGTTTTATTCCTAATAAAAACATGTTAGCAGAGGGACATTTGTTAAAAGTGATATTTTTAAATATAATTTTCTGCCAAATTCCAATAATTACAAACCAGTCCTGGCCTGGCAGTGCCAGACTAGTAGTGAAGGAGAATCAATACACTGTGATTTATCACCCTCCCATCCACTTTTTCTACATCTCAACCATTGTCATCAGAGGAAGGCACCAAGCAGACACAAAGCACTTCCCCAAAGGGAGGGTGAAAAATAATGGTAGGCAAATCATCTGGGTAGATTGTCACAGCATATATTAGGCAGAGCTCATATTAATTTTATGAGGAGCTGAACTGGCTTCAAGTTGACATGCCTGGCAATGGAATATCGGAATTGAGCCAACCCTCTGTGGCGGTCTCTGTAGTCCGGTTCCTGAGCCAGGCAGTTCCAGAGTATTCCAGGGCACTGCTGACGACAGCGCAGCCAGCCTGGCTCATCAGCAGGACCTGGAAGGGCAGATCAGCAACTAGGGGCAGAGAGTTATCCACTCAGCTCCTAGCCGAAGCTCTAACAGGTAGGCTGACCAAAAAAAAATTATTAATCATAATAATAATCCTTACATTTGGTTTAGCACCTTTCATGTCAGGAGTATGTCCCAAAACGCTTCACAGGATGTACTATAAAGTACAGTCGTTGCATGTTTTGTGCATCCTTCGGACGTCCTCCCGACGTGAAAGGCGCTCTATAAATGCAATCTTGTTGTTGTTGTTGTGGTGGGAAAATGGTAAACACATGTCAAATCATTTTTTTCTGAAGATAGATAGAATTAGACCTCATATTGCTTTGCCTATTTTCCATGTAACTTTCCCTCACTTTCCAGTGCAGCAACATTGACGGACGATGTCCCATCAGCTGCCAGAACGATGTGAGTATCTAGTAACATTTGTAAAAAGAACTTTTAAATGATTTATGCACGATACTAAAGCCTCAACTTGATTATTATAAAAGCACTCTTGAATAAATTCAGATTGCTTACCTGCGAACCCATAGCCTGCTGCTTCCGCTCGACTGGCTCTGGCCTTCTGCATGTCCCTCGTGTCCTCCGTTCCACTATTGGTGGCTGCACTTTCCTGAGCCAGGCAGTTGGCTCATCAGCAGTTTTACGCCCTGAAACTCTAGACACCCTTCCTCCATCCTTCCGCCTTGCCCCTTCCATCCGCATTTTCAGGTCACACCTAAAGACCTTCGTATTTGATTATGCCTATGGTCACCTCCCCCTCCCCACGGCTTGGCATCATGCTTTGCCACTGTCAAGTGCTCTGGGACACTACTCTGGTTGCGGGGCACTATATAAATATATGTTTTTGTTGTCCAATCTACCATTCAGGGCTTGAATTGCTTCTTACTGGATAACAACGGATTTATTCTGATCTCCAAGAAAGAAGAGGAGGTAAGGAATGGACTATATGGAGGGAAGGGGGCACCAGGGTGTAGCGGATGAAAGGGATGCAGGAAGATGTGTCAGGTAGATGGACAGAGAGGTGTATAACCATACAGGCATCTCTTCACTGCCCCGTTTGTGTGCATTACCTTAGAAGAGAAGCCCTGACTGCAATGTCAAGACACTTCTATTTCCCACACTAGGTGGCCTTCTCACCTCTCTGAGTGAGAGTATTTTTTGTGACAATTATTGCTGAACCATGAACAATCTTGTGCTTAAACCCTATAACCACTGGGAGCTCTGTAGAGAATGCACAATGTGTTTCACATATAACCCTTACAACCAATGGAAAGAAAAGTGCTTCAGTTCAGTCCTTAAATCTAAACCAGGTCTATTTTATTTGAATCCAATTAATTGTTATTTGTGGTAGAAGAGACACTATACAGGGCTATTTTGGTGTCTATTTATTATAATAATAATCCTTGCATTTGATATAGCGCCTTGTCACATCTTTGAAACGTCTTAAAACGCTTCACAGAATATACTGTAAAGTGAATTAACTGTATATTTTGTAGACGAAATGTGGCAGCCAATTGCACACAATAGTGTCCCACAAAGTCATGGATTGAGTGATCAATTTTTTTTGAAGGAATTATTACCCCCGAAAAGCGATCTGCCAATCGATTAACAACCACGTTCCTATTTACTACTAGGTAAACAGAGGCATATGGAGTAAGCAAACTTGCTTACTTTCGCCCTGCCAGGATCTGAACCCAGATCTGTCGCTTGCGAAGCGAGTGCTCTAACCACTGAGCTACAGGACTCCACTTTATGATTCTTGTGTGGCCTCCCTGGAATGCTTGTCACAGACCTTCCCATTTGTATGGTACCAGAGAAGCCTCTGTGGATCATCCATCCGTTCAGTGGTACAGCAAACTGTAGAATCTAGTCACTGGGTAGCATATCTCCATTGCTTGCTGCATCACCCTTGTCTGACAATTCACTTAAGTTCTTCCTAAATCTTAAATAATAAGACTATGGTCTTAAGGCAAAAACTATTAAGAATTTTAGCCCTCAGATGGCTATGCCTTCAGGAGAAGAGGAAAGATAATTAGAGGAGGAAAAATAAATTCTATTTTTTTCAGTCCCAGTTCTTAGTCACCTTACATAGACTGAGGCTTTTTCTGTGTGTGGCACCCAGGCCAACTATTTTGCAGCTTGAGGCTCATTACAAAAATAATATTTTATTTGAATCCATCAGCTGGCACAGAACATAGTATCAAGCACTCCCGTATGCAAACATACCTTATAAATAGGCCATACACTAAAGTGGTAATAATGGTTTCAAAAATACAAAAAAATTTGATCACTCAATCCATGACTGTTTGTGGAACACTGCTGAACACAACTGGCTGCTGTGTTTTGCTCACAAAATATAAGTTATTTCACCTAATAGTATATTCTGTGAAGCACTTTGAGACGTCTCAACGATGCGATAAGGCGCTATATCAAATGCAAGGATTATGAATGTTCATATCAATGGGATGCAGTGGCCTGTGACTGATTATGGCTCTACGCATTACAATATGCCACGTGTTAGACATGATTCAAGTTTAACTAGCTTTTCTTTAGGCACCGACATCATGGTGCAAACTGTATGTGTAAACAAATTGGGCCCACTATTGCACCAAGTACACAATTTTGTTGCTAACTTCTCAAGTCTTAGTATCGTGGTTGTGTTAATGTGGGAGTAAAATGGAGTACTGGAGTTTTAAATTAGTGATTTACTGATTGAGCTGATTACATGCCGTGGGCCTGAGTTTACATTACGGGCAGATATGTCAGGTTTACTTATAGTTGTGCTATACTCAACCCTTCCCCTCCTCCATCTCCATCCTTCAACTCCTCCCCCAGCTCCTTTCCCTACACTATTGTTTCGACATCATTAAATTCATCACTTGTACAATAGTTTGTGCAGTGTCACAGCATATTATATTCATTTGAGTAGCTACTCAAAGGAGCGTGTGCCCCTTGCTGAGCTGTGGAATCCAAGTGTGTTGATATACTTGTGCTTAATCTCTTTGGAGATCCTTCAGTACTCAATAAACCAAAATTCAGGATGAGGTGAGCTCACCCTGTATCTTCCTCCTCCATGGGGAAGCACTCAGCAGGATTATAAACTACACTCGGCAATTTTTTAATCTTAATCTTACTAAATCCTCCCTGCTACACTCTAGTGTTTCTGAAACAACAAATTTTACCTCAAGAAAGCAACTGAACATTTCTTAAACCTGTCTGCAAGCTTTTTATATGAAAGATCTCCCATCTTTTGTATCCACTTGAATTTTAAATTAAATGACTATACTTTCTCGAACTACATGCAGGTGTTATCTTGGCTCAATTGGTATCACTCTCACCTCTGGGTGAGAAGGACCAATGCTGTTCTTTCTGATTACCTATCAGACATGAAGTGACTATGAGGGGGTTAGAGGAGTGGGAGAGGAAGGTAGTGGGATCTTCTGGGAGCTAAGCTGCCTCCAAGACAAATGGAATCAACCCTCTGTACCAGTCGCAGTAGTACGGTTCTTCAGCCAGTGATTCCATAATACTCTACAGAACTGATGATAGACCAGTCAGCCTGGTATGTTGGCAGGACTTGGACTTGGAGGGCAGACCAGTCACTGGCAGTAGGGATTCTTCTTATTCAGCTCCTGCTAACCCTGCCAAAGCCTTAACGGGTTGTGTGGACAAGCAGTGGAAGCTTGCCAGACAGTGTTCTTAATACTAAGTTAATACGCTACGGAATTAGGTAAGAAGGGTATGTGCCAAAGCCTTAACGGGTTGTGTGGACAAGCAGCGGGAAGCTTGCCAGACAGTGTTCTTAATACTAAGTTAATACGCTACGGAATTAGGTAAGAAGGGTATGTGCCTACAGGGATACATATGGGGAACTCTCAATGTGGTTTGGATAGTCTTAAGCATGGTAATGGGTTTTCACAGGTGGCAGACACCTAGTTGACCAAAGAAAAGTCCTGGATGAGATCTAAGTTACATCAGCTTAATGTCAACAAGACCGAGGCTCTCCTGCTTGACTCTCACCAGCACATCCTCACATCAGGTACTGATCACTTTGACCTGCACAGATGTTCACTCCACCTCATGGTGCCAAAGTGGGACCTTGCTCAATCCCCATTGACCTTCAAGCCCTACATCCAGGTTTTCCCTCACTTCTGTATCCGTCCTCACCCTCTGCCACTACCTCTGCTCCCAAGCCTGTCGAGACTCTCTTTCATGCTGTCATTATATCCAGGCTCGCTTACTCTAACTGTTGCTACACTGTGCAGCTTCTCTCTACACAAGCTGCAGACCATCCAGAACCCTGTCATCTCCTGCACCAGGCTCTGCGAGCCCATCTCCCTAGCGGACAAAAAACTCACTTGTTCATCAAAATGAGCACATGACCCCTGCTTGATGCACCCCACCATTGCTGACCAAGCTTTCAGTCATTCTGGCCCTGTTCTCTGGAATTCCATCCTAAATTCCCTCCTCCCAACACAACAATTTACACTTGTATAGCTCCCTTCACATCGGAAAGACGTTCAAAACCTATCTGAAGGCCTCTCTTTTCAATAACCTTCTCCTCTCTATATATGGCACCTTTCATATCAAGAGGGTGTCTCAAAACAGTGGGTAGGCACCACCGGATCTGGGGAAGCCAAAAGGATTAGTGAGAGGAAAGATGACTGAAAGCGAGGTGAGATAGGTACGTTTCAGATCTTCCTTGAACGAGAAGAGAAAGTCAGAGGGACTCCAGGAGGGAGTTCCAGAGAGCGGGGGCAGAATGGCTGAAAGCCTGCCCTCCGATTGTGGGAAGGATAGGGAAGGGTGACATGAAGCAGGCCTGTGTTCGCTGAGCGAAGGGAAGGGCCAAGTTGATACTGTTGAAGGAGGTCGCAGAGGTAGAACTGGGAGAGATTGCAGAGGGATTTGAACATGAGAATGTGGATCCTGAACTCAATCATAGTGTTCTTGATCTTGTTGTTCGTGTGAGGTCTTCATCCACTGTGTGACATTGCCAAATCCCAGTTTTATTGTTTGCCTCAGGCAAGTCACCAATTTTGTTCCTGTCATGTCAGAAGTGCTTTGAGCACTAAAATTGGAAAAGAACTAGCAGCAAACAAACATTATTTTTCTTAGTTATTAATTTATTCTCATGTCTACCACCAGACTGTGCTCGGAGAAGGACATGTTATTTAATGTAGTGATACATCTCATATGCGCACATATCAGGAAAGTAACTGAAGAACATTGTAAGCAAGGCTGATTAAACTTCTAACAGTTGGCGGACACCGGCCTGCTTCACTTCCCCCACACTTCCCGCCCCACAAATGGCTGTCGGGCATTCAGCATCTCTGCTCCCACACTCTGAAACTGTATCCCACAATCCCTCCACTTCACCCCCTCTCTTGCATCTTTCAAGTCCCATCTAAAGACCTTCCTCTTCGACCGTGCCTTTGGCCACCCTCCCACCCGCTCCTCCCTTACCCTCCCCTCCTCCTGACACCAATTCCCAGCTCGGGTCCAAAAAAACCCTAATTGTCAAGGGCATTATATAAGTGTAATTTGTTGCTGTTGTTGTTTAGTTGCACTCTGGGGATTGAATAGCAACTAGGCACTGAGCAGTTTCCATGGCAACACATAGACTGTAAATTCACACCCATTCTTTATAATTTGTAAAACGTTTAAATAAGGTCCTTCTCTCTTCCCCCAAACGGTCACATTTTCAGTGCAAGTAACTTTGCAGATAGAAAACAGCTAAATTTGTGGTTGCCATGGGCAACAGAAATAACATTAGCCATAGTTGCAGAGATTTGGGAGCCTTTTTCTTCCTCAGGCAACAAGGTTACACGGAAAAAATGACCTTAGCATTACCAGTGGCACACACTTACATGTTTGCAAATTTAGCCTTTGCAACTCTTAGCTTCGAACTCTTGCTCGCATTCCATTCC